GGGGCTGCATGGCCGCCTCCCGCCAGCGGCGAGGGCATCGCCGCGGCCCGCGCGGCGGCGGGGGCGGTGGTGTGGTCGGCGGCGGTCGTCGACGGCGTGCCCGGCATGCTGGGGGCGGGGGATTTTGTGGGGGAGCTCGGCTTTGGGGTGCTCACGGCCGGGGTCGTGCCGGAGGGGGCGCCCATGTTCCCTGTGTGGCTCAAGGGTGCGGGGATTGGCGGCGGCGACAGCGCTGGCGGCGGCGGCGGCGGCGGCGCTGACTGCGGCGGCGGCGGCGGCGGCAGCGGCGGGGAGGGGAATGGGGACGGCTGCGAACTGGCGGAGCAGGACGAGCCCTTTATGGTGGGACTTTTTGGGTTGAGTCCGGGGTTTGATGTGTTGGGGGTTTGCTTGTGATGTGGTGATGTTGCATCGTTTGGGGGTGCCTGGAGGGAGGTTTAGTGGTGGAGTGTGCTGGGCAATATTTGTCTGGGTTGTCTTATTTTGTGGCGCGCTTGCTTGGCTGGGCACTGCCTGTCTCCAGCCGTTGGGGCTGGGGCCGGCGACTCAGATGAGCATGCCAGCCGGACCGGCAGTCTTGCGAATTCACCACGCCTACGGCGTGGTCGCTGGGCAGGCTTCTGATGCGGGCCCGTCGCCCTGCATCCCTTGGCCCCGGCTTCAGCCCCTGGGCAGCAGGGCAGGAACTCTCGTGTCGCGCACGGTCGTGCAACACGAGGCTCCGCTTTACTCTCGCAAGCTGGTCGCCCGAGCCGTCGTGGCACCGCCTTCGGCAAGCCGGCGGCTGCACACAGCTTGCACCTCGCCCTGCCTGCAGACCTCGGCTCAAGTCGAGAGGCGCCCTCCTTCACCGCGTCAGCGCTCTCGCCTGCTTTTTGATCTGAGGTGGTCGCTCCAGCCCCCTCCCTCGGCCATAAATCCATCACCCACGCACATGGGCCCCAGAGGCCCCCACCACACCCCATCGCGTGCAACCTCACTCCACCCCAACCCACCGCGACCCACCCCAACCCAGCTCAACCCAACCCAAACCAAACCAACCCAAACCAAACCAACTTAATCCAATGCATCTCAATTCACCCCCCCCCCTCACCCCCCAGGCCCAGGCCGTCCACCTGGGTCAGCTGACCCTGACCCCCAGGGAGGCCGCCCTGCTGCTGGCGGCACAGAGGGCCATGGAGCGCGGGATCGCCCTGCAAAAGGTCGGTATGGGGGTGTTTGGGTGCGTTTTTTTTTGGGGGGGGGGGCAATGCTGGCCGCTGCTTGACTTCAGTGATGATTCACCAGGCTGCGGGGTGTCAGCTCTGTTAACAGAGCTGACAACCTATCTACACACATCCCAACGTTGGGATGTCTGTAGGTAGGTTGTGAAGCTTCCAAGGGATTCAAATGGTAGTGGTGATGTTGACAGGTACAAATCTAGTGGTTCTGTGGGGAATTGGCGCACTATTTTTCTGAAGAAATTGACTTTCCAGGTGTCTATGGCAGCTGGCACTTTTTGGTGACTGGGTGGATGGGGTAAGGCAGGTGGTGTAGCAGGATCACGAGGACACCACCCTCCTTGGCAGCCCTGCCTGTGTTGGGTGCACCTTTCAGGGCCGACGCCAGAGCAACTGCCCCAGAGACGGTTCACGCAGCGGCCGGCAAGCCAGCTCCAGCGGCTAGCAGACGAGCTTGAGCTGGCTTGGCGCCTGCCTGCATGGCTTGGGCTCAGCCAAGCGACTAGGTAGGGGTGCATCTGGGGGGAAATAAATGGCTGCGTGAGCCAGAGCGGCCAATGCCTGCATGTAGTGCTGCCAGCGGGGCTCTTGCGTTGGGCACTTTTCCGGACTGAAACAGGGCCACAATCGGGCCCAAGCGCAGCTGCTGTTGCTCGGTCTGCCCGGGGGGCCTGACTGCACCTCAGGCAACCACTGGCTGCCCTGCAAAGCAGTGCGGCCCTGCGGCTTGTCGTAAGTGCACCCACTCCAATTGAAATCACGACAGCACCTCCTTGGCATGACAGCTAAGATGCTGCTTTGGGACTTGATCTTCTCACATAAACTCAGCGTAGACGTGAACTTCTCTGTAAGTTTGCTTGCAAGAACCTTGGTCGGCTGGGATATGGGGGTTTTTGGGTGCGGGGGTGTCACTGGCCGCCGACCTGTTTTGAAATTTCAGGGTTCATGGCTCAGCTGCCGGGTACGGGCCCTGGTGGGATGTTTGCATATCAGGTGACAAGCTTCCAAGGGATGAATCTTGATGATGGCATTTTCAAAATGGGTGTTTTTGTGGGTGGGTTTGTGAACAGCTGTCCCAGCAGAAAGCTTTCACGGGGCAGCCCGCTGTCTTCTGTGATCGAGTGGGGCCAGGCTGGTGGTGGTTGCCCTGAAGGCAAAGCACCACCTCTCTGGCAGCCCCGCCTTCGTTGTGGCAGCTGCTGCTATGCGGTCGGCCGGGGCTGCCTGCATACGCCTCATCTTCCCAGCAACCCCGGGGCTGCGCAAAACAGTGCAGCCCATGGGCGCCGGTTCCCCCGCTGCCCCACCGGACGATCAAAAGTTCACTGCCCCCTGCAAATCTCGCCTTGTTTGCTGTTCCGCGTCTCCAAGGGCACCCGCCAAGCCAGGGCGGATGGGGAGGGGCCCTCTGCCCTCGACGGCACGTATGCGGGGGCCGCCAGCGCCGCCGCCCTTCGCAGCCTGCTGCACGGCAGCTGCAGCACCGCCGCGGCGGCTGCCCCCACAAAAGACAGCGACGCCGGCGCGTTGGCCGGCGCTGCCAAATGCGCCCCAGGCTTTGCCGCGACGCCTGGCGTCGCGGCGCCGGCCGCCCTGGCCGCGCTGCCCTTGGCGGCTGCAGGGGGCGCTGACTCAGGTACAGCCGCAACGGCAGAAGCTTCCGCGGAGGCAGCGGCGGCGGCGGCGCTGGTGCTGGCGCCGCAGCCCTTCAGCCACGGCCAGGCCTCGCGCTTTGCAGGCACGAATCTGCTGCAAGCTGCGTTTGGCTGGGCCCCCAGCTGGGCGCCGCTGCCAGCTGCAGCAGTGGAGGCCGCAGAGGCGGCCGCGCTTGAAGCCCTGTCTAGCGCAGCAGCAGCGGCAACGGCGCCGGACGGCGGCGCCGACAGCAATTGTCCGCCCGCCGCCGCGGGCGGCGGCGCGGACGCGAAGGCCGGGGCCGTGGCGGCGGCCGAGGCGGCGCTGCCGCCGCCAGGCGAGGGCTTCGTGCCGTGCGTGTGGCCGGCGGCGGCGGTGTCTTATCTCATGGTGCCGATCAGGAGGCGTGATCTGGGTGGCGGCAGCAGCATGGGCAGCGGCGATGATGATCATGATGTTAGGGACGATCCAGTGCTCTCCGCTGCGCTGCGGCCGCCCTACGCCGCCCCGCCCGCCGCCGGCGGCGCCGCGGGCGCTCCAACGGGCCGCGGCAGCCAGGGGCGGGGACAGGCCGGCGGCGGCGAGAGGGTCCAAGGGGGCCAGGTGGGGGAGGACGAGGAGGAGGATGAGTGCCCCTACGCCATCGACTGGCTGTTCCTGCGAGAGCTGGCTGTGGGCCCCCTGCCAGCACCCCTGTTCGTCCGCGCGCTTGCCGGGCTGACCAACAGCGGCGGCGACGGCGACGGGCGGCAGCGGGGGCGGGCGCGGAGGCGCCTGGTGGTGGACGCGCTGTGGCCAGCCGCCCGCGCGCTTGCGGAGGGGCCGCCGCTGGTGGGGCCCGCGGAGTGCGCGGCGGCGTGCGCGGTGGGCGCGGCGGGGCTGGCGGCGTGTGAAGTGCTGAGGGCTGGCGTGGTGGCGGAGCTGCGGCAGAGGGTGGTGATCAGTCAGCATAGGGGCCAGGTGGGTGAGCAGTGACAGGAGCGCTGTTGCGGCCTGCAAGGAGAGCCATTTTTCATCGATCTGGGTTGCAGTGGCGCTATGGCATGAGTAACTTATGTACGTATATATGTACGTGGGTGTTCTGCCTTTGTTATAGGGTGTGGATAATGGGGCAGGTAGGATCGTCTAGCAGCAGTTTCCCCGCCCTTTATTCCACCAAATGCTCAACAAATAAACACACCATTTTTACAAAACCTGCTGGCAATCATTCATTACGAAAAAATCCCCCCTCATCCCACCCAATCCAGATCTGGCGCGTCACAGGCGTCTCCCGATCCCTCACCGCCTCGACCCCCGGCGTCTTCGGCCCCGCCAGCGCCGCCGATTATCTCTCAGATCACTACGCCGTCGCCAACCTCGGACCGGAACTCCCGCTCCTCGAGGTTCGATCGGGCCGAGGCATCTGCGACGGGCGTTGCCTGGGCGTCGGCCCCGCGGTGCGCCGCGCGGCGCAGGCCGCGCACTCGCGGGCGCAGGCGGCCAGCAAGGCGGCGCTGGTGGCAGCCCAAAAGAAGAGGCGGGAGCTCAAGAGGCGGATGAGGGAGGGGGAAGAGGCCGGCGGCGAGGCGGCCGCAGCGGCGGGGCTGGCAGAAGACGGCCCGCCTGCCGGCGACGCCGCCGGCGGCCTGCGCGCTCTGGGTGCCGCCGCCGCGGCCGGCAAGCGGGCCGGCTCGCAGCTCCAGCGCGCCTGGTGGCGCGAGGACGAGGCCGCGGCGGCCGCGTCTGTGCTGCCGCTCGAGCTCGCCTGGGTGCTGCCGCTGCGGCGGCGGCAGTGGGCCCAGCTGAATGCGCTGCCTGGCATGGTGTTCAGGCTGGCGGCGCTGCTGCAGCTTGAGGAAGCTGAGGGGCATCTGACAGCCGTGCAGCGGCGCGCCGGTGCAGGGGATGAGCGGGGCGCGCCCACCGGGGAGCAGCAGCAAGCACAGGGCGCAGGGGAGCGGGAGGAGTGTGAGGGGCGCCAGGGCTCTCCAGCAGAGGCGGCTGCGGAGGAGCCGCCCGCGGCGGTTGGATCTGCCGCGGCGGCAAGCGTCGACGACGGCGGCGGAGGATGTGCAGACGCCGCAATGGCAGAGGCAGAGGCGGGGCTTGCCACGCTGCAGCCTGAGGAAGGGGGGGCCGGCGGCCCGGGCGGCCTGAGCGCGGCTGCAGGGCCCGAGGCAGCACCCAGCGGCCATCTTGGCATGGCTGGCGGCGCCGAGGGCATGGCGGCAGGGGGGGCGCCGGTCGCGCCGGGCGGCCGTTTTCGCGAGCAAACGCCGCCGCCGCCGCCGGCCCCTGCGGCGCCGGTGGAGCTGCCCCCTCCGCTGCTGCTGGTGGCCCTCACGACAGTGCAGGCCGGGGAGGGCTTTGACCAGGAGGTGGGCCGATGATTTTGGAGTGTGTCGGTATGTATGACGTTATGTGTGTGTTTGCGTGTGTGTTGGGGGGAGACGGTGAAAGGCAGCAGGGGTGACACGCAAGCTGGTTGCTTGGCGTCTGCAAGGCGGTCAATCGCCACGGTTGGCTCAACAACACTCGCCCCTTGCGGCCCATGCATGCTGTGTTCGTCGAAAAAATGGCGCCATACGTGTCTCTGCTCGACCGCCCACGACCCCCCTACGTCCCCGGGCCCCCTCGCCCTCGGCATGCGCCACATACTCGTCGCGCCCACGCGGCCCACCCGTCTACACACGGCTCTCTACCATCCTGGACTTGCCGATTCTACATTCCAATCACCAGCTGCTGGAGGTAGGTGCAGGCTATGGCTCTCAGGGGCGCGCCAATACTGCAGGCTACCAGCTACTGGGCGGCGTGACGCCATCGTTCTTTATGGCTTTACTTTGGACAGCCACATGCGACTAGCCACCTCGTGCATCAAATCGACCTGCCATTGAGAAACAAACATGTCCACCTTGATCGACACCTCTGCGCCCCGGGGGCCCGAACCCTTGCACAAGATTTGGCTCATCAATCAATCACCCGACAACCGCAATCAACCGCAATCAACCGCCCCAGTTCTTGGGTGACGTGCTGCTCAAGTTCCTGGCCTGCAGCTACCTGGTGCAGGTGATGACATCAGCATGTATGGTGTTCACTTGTTGGCGGTGTGAGACAAAGCAAGGCTGCACACACTCGTATTCCGGAGCACTGGAGCCATTGTTTGAAGGAGATGCCCTCCTGCTTGGACGCCGTCCGCCGCCAACTAAAGCACCGCAAGTCGGCGCCAAACGGCTTGCTGGCAGTGATCCCTGCACCCGAGTGCGGGGGGCCTTCTAGATCCCCGTATCGCTCACCCCCCCCACACACATAATAAACAATAAGGCCCATGCCCCCCGTAAAACCCTGCCCACCGCTGCTTGCTGGCCCTCCCTCCCTTTCAACCCTCACCTCCTCCCCTCCCCAAACCCGTCTTGCGCCGCAGTCCCGCCCCGAAGCCAATGAGGGGGAGCTGTCTGTGGAGAAAGCCGCCCTTGTCAGCAACTGGGCCCTGGCGCAGAGGTGGGTTCCGCGATAACAAGGTTTGTGGGGTGTGTGTGTGTGTGTGTGTGTGTGTGTGTGTGTGTGTGTGTGTGTGCACATGTGTGTGTAAGGGGGGGGCCGGAGGACCTGGGTTGGGTTCAGGACCTTGGAGGTGAGGGTGAGAATAAGGATTAGACCGACAAGTGTATACTTGTCGGTGGAACACCGGCAATATATTGCCGGTGTTCCAAACACGGGGGATGCATCATCGATGCTGGGGCTTGCCAAGAAGCGCCAACACCCGCCAGCTGCGTCCCTCAACTTGATGCACAGACCGAATCGACAGCTCTGGTCTACAAAGAACTATTCAGCCTCCATCCTTGCTGCCACCCATACGCGTGGATGGATGCCCCCCCTTGGCAACGCCCGAATCACAGGTCGCGCGCCCTGGGCCTGGCAGACCACCTGCGCCTGGTGCCGTTTGAGCCCGTCCCCAGGTGGGGGCCGCGCGCCCTGGCGGCGGCGGCGGAGGGCCCGATACAAGTAAGCGGCTGGGTGCCAGGACAATTTTCGAGCGGCAAACATTCAGCCGTAATGGATGCCCGCACATCCTATTGGGGTTGGAGCAGAACAGGGGAGCTGGGGCAGGGGCCAAGGTGCTGCTGATGCGCTGCGACAAACGGCTATAGGAAATGGCCCTCTCGCTCGTCCTGGGGAGTTTAGCAGCGTATGTGGCCGCGTTGGTTTGGATTCTGACATCAGCTGGCATTGCAACAATCGCGTCGTTGCCAACCTCCAGGTGCGCGCGCGGGGCAAGGTCACCGCTGACGTCATGGAGTCACTCGTGGGCGCGGCCTACGTGACCCACCCGAACACGCGGCGGCTGACCACGGCCCTGCTGGCACGGCCCCCTGAACCAGCGGGCGCTTGCGGGGGAAGCGGCGGCGCTGACCAGGGCGCAGGAGAAGGCGGCGGTGCCAGCCTCGCCCTGCGGCTGCACGCCGCGGGCGTTTGCGGCGTCAGCGGTCCGGCGGGCGAGGCGGCTGCGGCGCCGCCGCTGCCGCTGGCGCCCGGCGGCCTGCTGCAGGCGGCGCGGATGTGCGTCAATATTGGGCTGCTGCCACCAGGCGAGTGGGGGGCGTGGATTGGTGAAGGCACCCAAGGGAGGATTTGATAACATCGCTCTTGCATCGTCATGTAGGGATGTTGTTCCTGCGTCACGCTGTGATCATCACGAATGATATGACTGTGCACCAACCAGGGATTTGAAACAACAATTCTGCCCACGACCTGCAACGACAGCCCCCCTCCCTCGTCAAATGCAGATCCCCTGGAGGTGCTCTCCCGCAAGCCCCGCTGGCGCCAGCCCCCCTCCCTGGCGCACGCCCCCGGCCCCTCGCCCCGCGCCACGGCCGCGGCCGCGCGGCCGCTGGCCCAGGCCGTCATGGCGGCCCTGGGGGGTTCCTACGTTTTCAGGGACCCCCTGCTGCTGGCGCAGGCGCTGACCCACGTGTCTGTCCTGGGGGCGGCCAGCTACCAGCGGCTGGAGTTCCTGGGAGACGGTGGGTTGCGGTGGGGGCTTCAGCTGGATCTGGGGGGTTGGCATTTGCATGTGTGTTTGTACACGTTGCCGCGGGAAGATTTCAGAGTTGGGATGGGGGCTGTTCTGGTTGCATGTTGAAGTTTGTCGAGACTTTGGGTTTGGGGCCGAATGAGTCTGGTCTGAGATCTGTTGGTGTGACAAAAGGCTGAAGCTGGAAGGTGGATGGGCAGTGGTGCGTAGTTTTTGTGGGTCGCGTGTGCAGGGGCAAGACACCTGCGTGGCTTACAGCAGCCTGGGTCATACTCCCGGCAAATTTTCTTCCACCACAAGCGCATCCTAGGTTGGGGGATCAGGGAGTTTTGGTGCCGGGGTTCTGTCCAGGGAGTTTCGCATCTTGTACTCAGGGAAGGTAGCATGGGCTTGGCTGGTAAACGCTGAGTGATTGTAGGGAGTTGCGGGGGCGGGGGGGGGGA